TATTTGCCTATCTGGCCTGGGGTGGAGAATAATTCTTTAGTGTTTCCCATACCACAAAAGACTTTGATCGTTTTGATATACTATGCAATGAAAATATTCGCTAAATTTTCTCCAAGGAACGAAAAAATGGAAATCTTATTTCCTCTTTAGTGTGTAAACTTTATATCTGAGGGCTACAACAAATTTCTTAATGGTATTCACCAAACAGCGATAGGCTATGCCACATTCTATGGTAGACTATTTACGAACTTGAAACTCTTCCGCAAAAGTTTGCAGACAGCAATTTCAAGTATTACATTTGGTGAGGGTAAACAATGAGTGAGCACCTTTGAGATCATGGTGATCTCTAACACAATGGAATGAACTTTCATCTTCCTTTAGAGCCGCTTGGTCACCTTTTAACATTGCTTGCTCATCGCTATAAAAAAAAAAAAAAGGGATTTATCAATTAACCAAGAAAGGTAGAAGAAGGAATAAAGAGGCAAAAAAAAAAAAAAAAAAAGAGGCATACATGATTAATGAGATGAAAATTTTCCAAAAATAAAGAGGCATATTTTCTTGTTCTATACATTTTGCCCCACATTGTTCTTCTCTAATACATATGCTAGGTGGCCTAATCCCCTTTTGTTTATCAGCAAACAGACTGCCTAATCATCTTATCTTTCTTGTTATTTTGGCCATTGGAAAAATTCTACTATACAGCTACATGTAACATACTGGAGATTGGGGCTTTTCATTGCGCTTAGCTTGGTTTTTGCTGAGGTCTCTGTCAAGAAATTTGGGTTTGGAATCTTGGATACTTGTTGGTTATAATGTCCGGTTGTGATGTCCATATTTGGTGATCATTTCCTACCTAATCTAATAACGGATATTTCGATCTTCTGGATACACTCTGCCATTTCTAAGCTGGTGAAACATGTACACACACACGCGTACATTCACTTGCATCCAATTTAATGGTCGGTCATATACACACACGCATAGTAGTTTCTTATAAATATTAGTACTGATTTTGTAGCATCGATATATAAACATATCCACAAGTTTTTTGAGTACAAACCTGCGATGATCAATCGGTTCTTCAGATTCAAATCTGAAGTCGTGTGGATCATCCGATATGCCATCAAACAGTGGCTTGAAATCGTTGCAGTCATTAGCAGAATGTTGCTTGGTTGTGACGGGCATCATTGATGACGATGAAGATCCCTGCATACCCCAAGAATTCGTAGCGACTTCTTGCAAGGCGACATTGTTGTCATTTTGGATAATGTATTGGTCGAGAGGAGGTTGAGGTTGTAGATGATGATAATTTATGTGTAACTGCTCGTACGAACCCAAAGGATCGGCGCCAAACATGTCACAATATTGGCTAGTGGAATCCGTAGCATCCTCGGCCGGCACTAACATTTGCTGCTGGCGTTGGTGTTGATGAGCCTGAACTTGAGCTTGAGCTTGAGCTTGGGCTCGACACAGGGCGAGCTGATGAAGAACGAAGTCGAGCTCGAGCTTTGTGTATTCGATTTGGCGCTGTAGCTGGCGTATGATCCGATAACACCCACCAACGGGATCACTTGCACGCACATCGGATTGGAATATGATGGTTCGCATGGCAGCGTCTTTCTCAGGTTGATCGAGTATACGTATTATCTTGGTGATGTTGCTAACTCCAAATAATTTATGGGCATTGAGGAATTGTCTTTGGCGATCATGAGGAAAATAAGGGGCCAGAATGCAGTCAGGAGCGCACTTCCTGCGTTGGTACTTACAAGCAGCGCAAGCCTGGGTGGTGTTAACCCTTGCAATGGGGACGTTGGTGTTATGCATGTTTTCTCCTTTTTAGGAGTGTGAGATTTCGGCTGCGTCTCCGGCGGGGATGGAAACGAAAGCTTTCTTGATCTTGGCTTTCTTTTGGGTGCTTCTCCCTTCTTTTCTCGTTTGGAAGAAACACAAGATGAAATGGTAAAAATGGTGAGAGATTTAAGGGTTGGTTGACAAGTTTGTGAGGAATATCAGGAAACAACCATTCCATTGAATGACTGACATGCATGCATGTGTGTGTGTGTATGTGTGTGAGATTAATGATCAATAATAGTCGGGAAAGTTTTGCCAAGTTGGTCAATTGGCATGTCAAACATTTCCACCCAAGAGGGAAACAAGAAGATATATAACCACCGGCTCTTGGGCTGGTGGCCACCACCAAGCCCTTAAGGTTTTGCCACTCTCATGGCTCTTCTTCAAATTCAGATGTGCACCAGTCTGGTCCGGTGGTGGTTCTGTCCTTATCGGTCTCCCGTAGGCTCAGTTGAGCCTCCCCTGATTGGAATAGGAGTAGGGATGACAATTGATAAAAAAAGATATATATATATATATAGTGCTAACTTGAATATGTATATGTATGTATAGGGTATGATATTAATCGCTTTAAGTACTAATCAACAACCTTGTTGAAGAAAATTTCTATTCCTTGTGCAGAACTATTAAAAAGGATTTTGTGATACTATCTTTACAAATCGATTCTCGAGGACTTTTGGATGAGTTAAAATAATACTTATAACAGTAGTAGAACAAAAGGATGTCTCACAGTCCAGAGCCTGGCTAATAATAATTAGGTGCAAGAACAACAACTATTAAAAGGTGCATTATGCAAAGTCATCTCTTAATTTTGATTTCTTCTTCCAAAACTAACTTCTGTCTCCTATTGTATAAAAGTACTGGTCTTCTTGTTGGTAATTATCATGTTTCCATATTTATGATTTATTCGTGGGAGTCGGCTATTTTTCATAGTTTTGTTTAATCCTCTTCTAATAGGTGGCTTAATCATTTATCACAGGCAACATAATTTTCTCCTACTAAAATTTACAATTCAACTTTTAACTACAAATATTAATATTAAAGACAAGAAACACATGTAATTCGACTAATTTACATATTCAAGTCTGTCTAGTTTGCTCCAAACTAAGTAGAATGCATTACTATTTTCTTTATCCAAAAAGATAAGAAACGCCATATAAAATTGAGCTTTGTCTAACTTGGTTTTATTTTACCTCATTAAAACCAAAAGGCAAAAATGCATTTTCCAAGTCAAGAATCGAAGTTGACCGGAATTTGAGAAACTTCCGAGGGGCAAAGGGCGATGATGTATAAAATCTTGGGCACTGGAATATAATCCAAAAGAGTCACTAAACGCCGACGTCTGCGAGTCCCCTCTGACATTTGCTCACCTCCACTCCATTTCCGAGAGAGAAGGGCAAAGGCCAAACGGTGGCCAAAGGGAAAGCAGTGAAAGCTTCTCCCTCTCTTTCATCTACATAGCGTCGGAAGAATTAGTGGAGGCCCTCCAGTTTCAGATATTTCAGGTTCGATTATAACGTTGAAGATTCAATTTTTATGTAAACTTGATAGAAACTTTGAAGCTCTCCTTTTTTGGGTTTCCATATGGTGTTCTTTATGTATAACATTTATTCAGGAAATAGATGCTGTGTACTTGAAAATAACTTTGAGAATACAGCTAAAATAAGATGAGATTTAACAGCTCATCTGAAATGCCAAGCAACACTGATTTTACTGCGTAATTACCCAGTGCATTTATGTGTGTGTGTGTGTGTGTTTTTTTTTCTTTTTCTTTTTTTTTTTTTGAGTTGCCAACTTCTGTTAGATTATACTGGTACCACATTAGAGCTGAGTAATGGGATATGATGTAAAAGTTGATTGAAGCTGAAAAGTGTTAATCTTGAGCTCTGGCTCTGGGAAGGATTAAAAGGCAGAAAATACTGTTTTATTGCAAGCAATTGGTATCGAAGTTTGAATCTTTGTTTCTTAGTTTAAGGATCGCAAGATTTTGTTATGTTGATCTAGCTTTATGGACTATAGAGGTTGTTGCCCTGCGCATATATTGATGCGAGCAAAGGTGCGGCAATCATGAGTACTACATTGCTTAACTTGTTAAAACGAAATTACCCAAGTATAACCATTTTAAGACTTTCAAGTCCAAATCCAAGTTGTTGGGCATATTTATAGTGCTTCTGGCCTATTAATACATTGCTAGGCCATACTACTTTTGTGTCTCACGCATTGCAAGTGCATCAGTCAATTGCAGTGGTGCTTACTTTTAAGCATATGTGGTTGGGAAGTCGGAGGAGAAAAAATATGGCAAAGGGGTAATAGTTTTCATTTGGGAATTCCATGATCATCTTGCTTTGTGAGTGAAGGGGTTGTCTTGTTTTTTGTTTCTCTGGTAAAATAATACGAGCTGGCTAGGTTGTTTGGATTTTCAGTGATGAGATGTAAAAGGAACTTGCTAGGCTGCAGCAAGAGGCATTAATGCCTCATCTACAGGAGTTTACTAGAGCAGGTTCTCTAAATTAGGCACAATATATCATCACATTCAAACAGAGGAAGGTCAGAACATGTGGTTCTTTCACTCTTACTGAAGTCTCTAGTCATTCATTGGATATGTCTAAGAATTGTCCAAGACTGTTGTTTTCAGGTTTTGAGTAATTTACCCATCTTAATTTACAGCAGAACATTACTTGACAATTTGTCTTTGCAACTTTTCCTCAACGAGCAAGAAAAAAAAAAAGGAACTGTGTTGATTCTTATAGTCTATAGCTATTGCCTGTTGGTGGCAATGGTAGACAGTGAATCTTATACTAGTTCTGTAAGAATACATCTCTTCTCATGCTGTGAATGCTTTTTGAAGAAGGTTAAGCAAGCCACTAGCAATGGTCTCCCAGGACTATGTTTGCCTGAATAGTACTTTGGCATCTTTTGAGTCATATGACTACTCCTTTTTTGCTCAATGTGATAACTGCTCTCTCCTGTTATTGTATGGAAAGCTTTACTTGGTACATAATCTTGTCTTGCATGTGATTTCAGCTTTAACCTTTCTTGCATGTGATTTCAGCTTCTATTATATTTATCCTTGGTGGTTGTTACAAAATCTTTTGTCCTATTTCACATATACCTGCTTGAATTGCAATACCTGCATTCTTTTTCTCAGGTAGACCATTATGACGATAAAACCAACAGTTGCCCTAAGAGCTATCCTTGTTGGTGGAGTAGCTGCATTTGCAAAAATTGCGGGTGCTCTTAAAGCTGCAGGTGGTGTAAAAGTAGGTGCAGCTGCTGCTGCCGTGACAGCTGCAGCAACTGCAGCCAGGTCAGGGTCAAAGCAGGAATCAAAGGATTCTCCTAAACAGCCATCAAAATGACTTTGGTTGTAGATGGACCTTGTGTGTTAGGTAAAGCGATGAATTCCCTGTTAGTTTCTTGGAAAGTTTTGGCCTTGCGAAACTTGTACACTGCAATAATAATATGAATGCACTGAAATAAAGTTCTTCATAGCTTTGGGTACGAGTGATAATCAAATCATACATCTTGTAGTCCTGCAGTTGTTCATATCATGTTGTCTTGTAATTTGATTTTGGATTTTGCCGGAATGTTCTTGGTAGCTATGGACATGCTATTTTCTTTCATGGGCGGAGGACGGAAATGAATTCACACTGTTCCTAACACATTCCAATGATCAGTTGGTAATTTAGTAGCTCAAAGTAAAAGCTTTATTATTATTGTCTCCAGATTTCTCCTTAACATCTTGGAAGGGGAAGGGCTTGGGTGCTTAATGTACACGGTGGACTCTGAAAAAACCCAGACTACAAAAATCGTAGCGGCTTAAAGCACTAATACCGCATTAAGTGGAACGCATCGTAGTATATGCCGCGGCTATTGATTTCTGTCATTAACCCATGTTTACCCCAAAGATGTCCTATAACATGATCTTATCCGTTTGAGGAAGCATCTAATCCATTTCCAATTACAGAAAAAAAAATATACAGATGTTTACGCCACAAAATGGCATCATGTTTCTGAACAAGAAGTCTCCAGACATCTCCGGTCTTGAATCTTGAGCCTCCAACATTCTGCTCCAAGAAAGAGAGTTTGAGAGTTTGAAAATTGAACTGTGACGGGGAAACGGAACTTGCAATAGAACCATTACTTCTCAAAAGAAATTGGCAACAAAGTCGTTTGAATAGGACAATGCCCAAACAATGATCAAATTCCTCAACCAGCACGCTACATTGCAGATGTAAGCAAGAAATACAGATACAGATGTATTTGATAAAAGCCAACACTTGGAAGCACACGTAGCTATTTTTTCCCAACGAGGCACTTACGAAGTTGCGTAGTATTGGCTGACTGCAAGAACTCTCTCCCTCTCCTTCATCTGAACAAGTAGGTTTCCACTTTCTCCTCTCATTTTTATGTACACTGCTGGTTGGAAGATTTTCTGTTTAGGCCATATGCAGAGTTCCTTGAACTCTTCAGGCACTAAACAGCCAAAAATATTTCTCCTACACATGATCCATTCTACCATCTTCAGTACCCCGCCGTCATCAGGAAACTCATATATCGGTATCTTAATTCAATCTTCAACCAATTGAACCACAAGTGAAGTCTGGCCGGTCAGTTGAGCTCAAAGAAAGCTTGGAGCTCGCAGACTCTAACTCCAGAATAACCTGAATGAAGTCAAGACAACAACATGATGGTTGCATCAAAATCATTAAAGTGCTTCAGCAGCACAGTCTGGTCAATGAAATCTGAAAGTAATAGTTTATGGGAAACAATCATATAGCAGAAACATAAACGTAAAATGTTTTTGGAAAAAGAATTAAAGCAGAAGTACGAATCAATTAACCATCCCATATTCTGCCTACTAGCCAGATGTGCAATAAAGAGACCATAAAAAAAATGAACAAAACATTAACTGCATTCAAGTAGCTAAGAAGTTGAAGAAAGAAAAAGATATGAAGTAATACCAGACAGGAAATAGAGCAATTACTTCATAAGCATGCACTTTTTCCCTGTGTTTTCTCATTTAAGTGAATTCATAAAGACAATGTCTCTTTTACTGGATGGGTAAATGAAGTAGGGAGATTTAATACCACAACATTTTCCCCCTCTCGAAGTATTGGAGCTGGGACGTATAGGTTACACTGTGGTCCAACTGACTGCAAAAGATCAAACAGAAGATTTTGCTTTCAAGAATTCTCAAGCAACATTAATGTGAGAAGAAATAGAAGACAATAAATTAAACAAAGAATGTTTTACCGGCCAATATCGCCCAATATTAAATTCATTAACAAAAGCAATCCCCTTACTCCACCCATTGAAAGAAAGGTACGTGTCTTTGACTTGGTCAATAGCAAATCGACCCGTGTAGAAAGTTGGCTCCAGATTATCCCCTGCACAATATGCAGGTGGTAATAAGCCGCTATTCGCTTTGCAATGCTCTCAATCTTATCATGCTTTGAAATTCTATAGATGCTAAATGTACATCACTTGCTTCCTGCAATATATAGTTTTTGCATTCAGATATCTAAATAATTACAACTTACTATGTCTTCTATAATTCAGATCTTCGAGTGAAGATACTTTAATGAACTTGGAATATGCATCTGAAACAATGGAAGAGATTTTTCGGCCTTCATTTAGGTTGTGAAAAGGAATTGAAAGCATTCTCCACTTAAACAAAGGCCTTCCACCCACATAAACAGAAGATAAAATGCCCTGCAGCACAGAATACTCCATTAATGACTTTTTGTCCAAAAACAAATTAGCACCAAGAAGAAACTACACATTTTATGAACCATGGGCCTTTTCATGACTGACCCATATCACCGAGTACCAATACTCCAAACATGGCACTTTAAATTCACACGGGTAACCTCACAACATATGCATGATCAGGCACATTGATTAGGGGCAAAATGTTTGTTTCTCAAATGACACATGAAGAACAGATATCAAAAGTGCGAATAACTCCGGTTCTCTATTTGCTTAATTAATCAGCCCATCTTATTTCTCCTCCAACAATCCTAACAAACAATGACCAAGTCATATAATTTCTGTGACTGGCTACAATATGAAAGTCACCGAGAGAGTATTTCGGTCGTTTACACAACATAACATGAGAGGCAAGTAAAGAAGGTTAAAGCTACAAAAAGCAAAAAATGCATTCATAACTAGCAATGTTTTAGTAAGAGTTTCAAGTTTAACACTAATAACATGCTTCAAAATTATTCCTAAAGCACAAAGCTCCACCCATAATTAATATTTTTGCATAAGTTTGAAAATGCATATAAAGCATCAGGTGAATCATGAGAATAGAACACCAGCTAAACTACACTGAAGGGCATAGAAATTATCAAACTAAAGATTCATTGGAGCATAGGAATTTCTACCTTCTTGTCAAATATGTATGGCCCATAATTCAGACGACCCATATTTTCAACCTACAAATACAGATATGCGTTAACAAACTGAAAATCACAACATACCATTGATGCCAAAAACAATACTGGAAAAAGCAGTATGAAAACAAAACTAAAAGAGGGTGCACTGTTCCATCATGTAAGTGCTTTATTGATTAAAAAAATGGGCTCTAAAGGTTTTCTAGCGGTATATACAAGTTAAAATCATACATGATTAATATTACCATTTCAATTCGTGACAGAAGCATACATTTTAGCACAACCACAGAGAAGCAAATCACAATGTCTAATCACCACTTTGGCATTATTTGTTAGCGACCAAACTGAGCTAATTAGCTGATTGCAAAATCCGAAAATATCCTCAGCAATACAGACCTCAAATAGTATAAACTTCATATGCTGACATATAAACTGAGAATGCATCAAATAGTATGTACTTCCTCAGCAATACAGACATCAAATAGTATGCATGTAATGGACAGGAAGAAGAACGCTACATAAGCTGATGTATAAACTTCACATAGTATTGAAGAACCTTAAAGAAACAGAAAACCAAGCAGATTCTGGTTCTAGTTAATACCAGTGATCAGAAAGAAACCTGCCTCCAACAGATGACAAGAGAGAGAGAGAGAGAGAGAATCTGTACCAAAATATATAGTTTTGTTCGGGAGACACAATTAAAATGAGGAAGATCAATGGCTCGATTTGACCCTCTTGAGATGGTGCCAATGTAAATTGGTCTTTTCCTGTTATCGTCAGAAGTACATGATATAAACACTTGAGCTCTGTCATGCACCTGCAATAGGACGGAACATGGAGTCATTACCATAAGGGTTTTTTTTGGTAATGTTCAACTTCCTTAATTTGTGTCAATTGTAAATGATATATGGAGTTTTTAAGGCAAAAAGCACCTTTAGACTCACAGAGAGCTAGGAACCAAGACAGGGCCACTAACTTAAGCCTTGCAAGTACAAGCAATAAGGGCTTACCTTTGGTATGGACAACACACTTCTATTGCCTTTTGAGGTGTACTCAGATGCATATAGTACAAAGCCAAACATCTGAAATGTAAGATTAAATTGCAAACAAGCAGCATATCATCCACCATTTGACTAAATGGAAGAACCAATAACAAAAGCATTTTAAGCAAAAAGTAACTTCACTGTAGTCTACCTGACCGACAGACTCCATTGATAGTGGGATTTCAGATTCAACTACTGAAATGAGTTCTGGATAGTCAACTATATCAAAAAGGAAAGCTGACTTCTGTAACTCTATACGTCCATATGTGGCTCTTTGATTATCAGGAGGAACTGAAGTGGGCTCTTCCACGGTATACTTTGAAATAACTCTTTGTAGAGCTGAAAGCAGTACCATTCAGATTTATTCAGGAAAGAACAGATTTATTCTACCAGGCAGCTTTATTAAGAAAACAATAGCTTTATTGAATATACATAGAAAAGAATTTTCTTCGGAGGGATGGTGTAGGTAACCCAAGATTACTCTTTCTTTTGGTACAAGAGAAAGAATGAGGAAAAGTAGTAATCTGTGGATAAAGCATTCAAATATGTATCAGCAACCCCTCTCCCAAAAAAAAAAAGGGAAGACGAAGGGGAAAAGGAGGGGAGATGCACCAGGAACAACCTGTGCACCATGGTCCAGAATCACCAAACTACGAGAAAGATAATTTTCAAGATCATATCATCCCAATTAATCACTTGTCACCCTTTAGATACATATCTCTGCAGTTGCAAAAAAAATGCTGTCTACAGACATTTGACCATTATATATGAACATTCATATCCATGCAATCTTATCAAATATCAAAACAGAAAACGGGAAAAGGATGCTTTTCTACAGAGATATCCTTGAAGGACATTTATAAGATGCCAAGGTTTCAACTTCACCTTTGTACTTTGCATTATCCACATCACCAGATTCTCTAATAGGTGCATCCTAATTGAAAAGCCATGGGAATTTCATGAGGAAGAACTCATCAACTCAGCTTAATATCGAAATGAATAGGTCAAAATCTCGCTCACATAGTCATAAGATGTAAGATCAGGCTTGTAGTCTGACTCATCTGCACCACTATTGGCGCCATTGTAAAATCCAAAGTTTGTTCCACCATGTGCCATCTGGAAACCAGAAAAATAATTTTCCACTATAAGGTAGCAATGGGCACACAAAACAGGTCTGAG